TGGCGCAATTTGTTCTAAAAATAGAAAAATTGTCCCATATCATAGGTGCCCGCGAATCCCGAGACTTACGGTCTCCGTCCCCGATTATGGCTCCTGAACATACTTAATTTTCAATGCATTATGGGAAGGACTTCCAGCCACCCAACGCTCCACAGCCCGCCCTTGCTCCACTCCTTCGCAATGGGAAACGTCAGTTCTACAGTTGAGTTATTCCAAAAGCGAGATACCTTCTCTGTTTCGTCTTCCATGCCAAAAGGCCTTAATTCTATTTTGCGCCTTTATTATCGTCTCCACTTACCGCCATTTTGGAACAGGGTATCACTAATTGCGTGAACTACCGCTGAACGATTTTGCGCCAGCAAGTTTCCAAGTTGCGGGAGGAAACCCCATGGCAACCGACCATCGTGGAAAACGTATTTTCCTTCAGGCTTAAAGCTATTGACCTGAAAAGAATAACTATTGTATGACATACAACACGGCTGAGTGACTCGAAACAACAGCTGACAGAATAGCACAATATTACGTATGGCTGCTATTACCATACCAATTAATGTTGAAGATATAAAATTCAATTAACTTCATCGGTAAGTGGCTTTAGTGGTTTTCAAGCTCTTCACAGGGAGCTACTACGGATACAGATTTACTTTCATTGCCGTTGAGGTACAAAGGACAGTTTGCAAGACAAGTGAAGGTGACTAGCTTTTTCTTGACATTTTGAAATTTTTATTAACATATGTTTTATTTATTGTTTGATAATTTGGGCCTGACACTGTTGATCTTTTTATCTTTCCTAGACTTAATTATTGGTTGTAAAACTTTCTTGTTTAAATTCCCTGAAGTCTGAAATTTTCACAGATTTTCGATAGAAATTGCTATTCAAACCTATTGAGAGTCTGCTATGCTTGCTTGGAAATGTTAAGCAATCACGCCACAAATCATTTCGGTCTTCTATAAGATCACCATCGCTCGACACTTACGAAATTTATGGCTGAGACTCTCTGATAAAAACTATGACAATTTCGAGAAAAAAATACACTTCCAAACGTCCTGAGAGTACTTAGGTCTATTAAGAAATGTCAAACGATTCCTAGAATTACTTTGATGTGTAGTATATAGGCAAATCTTTTGAGGTTGGGCATGATATCAGTTCGCCATGTCTATTTCGGTTAGGCTCAAATAAGCTAAATGCCTGACAGTCAGAAATTGTTACAGAATTGCAACGGAACGAATTTCTTAAACCCCTGAAAAGTTCTGTGAGAAATTCCCAACGATTCAAAGGGCTGTTTTGGTCTTTCCAGTCTACGAACTTTCTAAGTTTTAGCATGCCATAAAAATGAATGATTTCAACGCTAAACCTTAAAATTTGTGGTTAGACGTTTCCGAACAAACTTAGGAAAGGATAAGGATATCTTACAAACTGTGTGAATATGAAATCTAGGCAAGTTCCCTTCTTTCTGTACTGGCCTGATGAAAATGCGCAATTTTTCATAAATTCCATCGTACATCTTGGTTGACTGATCTGTATTTCGAACTTTCCTAGATTTCACAAAAATGTGAACTCGCTGGAGCTTATAAAGTATATTCTGAAAACAGTTCATCAAAAAAGTCTTTTTGACGCAATAAAACTGAGAAAATTCGAGTTTCCGACCTGTCGTCGGGTTTTCCATATTTACTGGCAGTGGCACATAATCACTAAGTAGAACTTCATAGCCCCGTGATCGAGCATTCCATATTTAAGAGCTAGCAAGCGCTTCGCTGTGGAAGAAGTAACATCGTCTCCTGTGTGAACATCAGGAGTATTGGCCAAAATCGTATTGCACGTGCAAAATTAGACATGCGTGTTTCAGACATGTGTCTCACAAACGACGCTTTGGGTAGATTGGCGTGTCAATTCAACTCATTGTTCTTCACCTGATGTATCCTTGAGCAAGGATAGCTTCCTCCAGGTGTAATTTTAAACGCGCACAAGCGATGCATGCGCTATTTTATGTTACCTCGTCCAGCCTATGTTCCGGAGCGTGCAATGCTGTCCTTGCTCCTAGTCTCTTTACGTTAAAGAAATTTCTAGAATTTAAAAAATTCCCCCTGAAATTTTTATCTTCATGGGCTATAAGAGGCGCTCAATATACATTTTCTAATTAGTTTTCAGCTAACTCAACAGTATTCTTCGTTTTTAGAAAAAAAATGATTTCAAATTTTGGTATGGAGTTCAGTGCACCCCTGACGACATCACAATAGCTCCAAGAAGGCAGGATGCATGTTAAAAAACTTACGATCCTGCGATTTTTACTAGTCCGAACAGTTAATTTATTAAAACTAGACTTTATTACAGTTTCTCACGTTGATTTTCGACCCGAATGTTAGCGTCCATCTGCAGGACACGAAGATGGCGTTTCCATACTGCACTCTTTACATTTGCTTGCATAACTTGACTACAGAATATCACACTGACCTTAAACTCCGGAAAGAAGATCATCTTTTAATCATCTATGGTACTTCAAGTTCCTTACTTCTTTTATCAAGTAGTTTGGATTTTACTCATGTGAGAATGACAGTGAAAACCATCAGGTGAGCTTTACAAATACACAACTTAGTTGTCGGCTATCTTAAGCTTATAATTAGAGAAGGTGGAAGTGAATATTTAATCAAAATCGTGTTTTTTCTCCCTGGTGGCTTGTACAGTCTTTTGAAGCAAGTACGTGCTTTGGGAGAAAACGCATGCATCGTTCAAAACGTGCTCGTTCAAAATTGCACATGAAGGAAGTTATCCTTGTTCAAGGATACATGAGGTGAAGAACAATTAGTTGAATTGACATGCCAATCTACCCAAAGCGTCGTTTGTGGAGACACATGTCTGAAACACTCATGTATAATTTTGCACGTGCAATACGATTTTTGCAAAGACTCCTGATGTTCACACAGGAGACGATGGTAACTCGTCCAGACCCCAAAACACAGCTCAGAAAGCTCGTCTTTCGTCTGGGAACGCTTGCCGCGCAGGTTACACAAGATCTTGAGTAGGACTGACATATAGCGCATGTATCGCTAGCGTACGTTCAAAATCGCGCATTTAACCATATCATTGCTTTGGCATAGTCAGGCGACAAATAGGGTGAGAGATAACATATAAACAGTCAGAGTCTTGAATGTGGTCAGCAGACCTAACGAACGAAGCATCTGGATGGTGCGGCGTGGTAAAGTTGATTGACAAGTATGTCAAATTCGCTTGAAAGATTTGAACAAACTGACATGGAAGATCAGTCACGGCATGGGAAGATTAGTTAACTCGTGCTAGACCCAAGCAAAGTTTTGTCAGAGTTGAACTCAATGGTATCCAGTTTTACTCTGAAGACACCATCTTTATTAGGGTAAAGACTTTTCAGGGTTGCTTAAAGCAATATCGGAAGTGTAATATGAACTAGAAGAATCCATTCTCCACGTGGATTTAATTGCAAAAAAGTCTAAATCCGAATTCGTAATCCTTGCTTTCTTGGAAGATACAGGATCAAACACGACTCTTTGTAATCTTCAGGGCACAGAGGAGTCTGATTATATTAAAGAATTGGTCCATGCTCAGCCTGCGTGTATCGAGTTATGGATGCACGCGGGAAGTTTGGAAAGCACGAGAAAAGCGTAAGAGTTAGCTTTTTGAGTGCTCTCCAAACTTCCCAACTGCATTCATAACTCGATGTACACACAGCTAAAAGCATGAACCAATTTTTTTATGACATAGCGACAACATCTTGGACGCTAAAACATGTTTTATTTGTGATTGTCTAGACAATGTTTCACAATGCACGGTGAAGGAAAACAAAGGTCATTGGAATCTTGACACGCCACAATCAGTTGAGCAACAGTTGAACGAAAACGCTTTACCTGGTTCCTAAAATTGTCAATGATGAGTTCGCTTCTTCGACTTAATGAAAATGTAGGAAAACAAAGTCAAAATACTGAAGTTTTAGTAATCATCTTAACTTGGCAAAAGTTATAGGCTTGAAGTAGGGTTTAGATTGCTCAGAATGATGTTGTCATTGCCCAAACTTTATCAAAAGGAACTCCACGGAAATATTGCATCTAAAATGAACCTGCACACGTCATGTTATTCACGCACGGCCGTGCGTAAAGCGATATTTTTATCATGATGGCTCAATAGAAATTAAAATTGGTACGACCAACGCGCGCTATGTTATAATTAGCTCATCCAACAAGACTGGCCTTTTGTAATTCCACTGAAACATTTTTCACTTTGCCGCACTCTACTGCACCTGTTATTTCTGGTGAAACACCCGTTAACTGGCACCTTAGGATACAAATATTTTAATGCACGTGGGTTTATTTGGAATTTTTGGTGCGTTTTTCAGTGAATTTTCCTGCCAATTTTGTCTCAGCGTTTTACAGACATGTAGAAACCTGAAAAGAAGCTTGCCAGCTTCTTTGGGGCTCCACTTCAGTTACGTAACAGCGAAGGAGATAGTCGTAGTAGCTTTTGGAGGTTAAAGTTTGTGCCTCGGTTTCGCTTAAGGTGTTTAATCTAAAACAAGCACCCTTTGAGTTATCTCCAAGTTATCTTGCCACCCGTCTGGGTCCACAAAATGACTTTTTTGTAGCTTTCAAGGGTCCGTCATGTTATGCAACAATCATCTCCGTCACGTATCTATTGTATGTGGCTCAACCTGGGCACTGTTGATTAATTTACTTCCCTTCTCAATTCCTTGCAGATGCAGTTCAACCAAACGTATGTTCCCAACGAAGGACCACTACAAGTAAATAAACCCATGGAGCAAATATACTACAATCAAGTGCTGCCACAAAATTGCTCAAACATCCCCGACTGCCCTGCCGCCTGGGAAACACTGCAACAGAGAGAAAGTGTGGAGGAATTTCAACAAGAAAGCGAGCAAACTACGAACAACCTGTATTCCAAAGGTCATCAATCCTCGGGAATGCCATTGTCTAATCGAAGAGAAAGGAATCGAGAAAGAGAGCGCAAAAGGCAGACGCGTCTGAAGGGGGCGTTTAACGTGCTTCGCAGCGTAATACCCGATCACTTTTCCGAGAGAGAGCCCGGAGACAGGTTGTCAAGAATCCAAACTCTAAGACTGGCAAGGAAGTACATTGCTGCATTACATGAATTGTTAGAGACATGTCAGTAGGTTCTGTTGCCCTGTGCGCCGTTCTAAAGTAGTCAACAGAAACCGACCTAGGAGACAAGAAAATTGGCTTTTCTTTCACACTAAGTTTCATATTTTAAGGCAATTGTTATGCTGGCTTTAGCATTTTAAAAGTGACCTTGCCATGTTAGGTTACGCTATGTTTGTCACGATAGGTTATGCAAATTACGGCGCTTTTGTCATTTTAGGCGACTTGATCACTTTAGGTTGAGCTATGTTCCATGATTTTGTTGCGGTATGTTACGTTCATTTAAAGATGATTCCCGGTCCGTACCGCACTCTCGAGAGTTTGTTTGCATTGTTTGTTTTGTTTCATGTAAGACATCACAGAATGTAAACATTTAGCAACTACTTACATGATGTAAATTCAAAGTTTCTACAGCAACCGCATTTATGGATGCGAAGCTCTTTGCTTCGTTCTTTCTCATATCACTTGATGAAACAACTTTGCAGCTGTAAAAATCAATGAAGCTGTTAGAAAAATAATTTGAAGGGCTTCAAATTAGATGAGGTATGTGGTTCGTAACGAATAACATCGATTCGCATTCCATCGAGTGAGAACTTATAATGTTTATAAGCATTAGGGTGCTGAGACTGCGCAGTACGGACTGGAAATCATCTTTAAGCGCTGTTGTAATACCATGTTTAATTTTAAAGGGATACTCTGCACCATATTTCGACTTTAGCTCAAAATGTAGCATATGCATTATAAAACCTATGAGAGGTAAAAAGGACGGGAGAATTAAATTTTAACGGCTGAAAACTGCGCTGAAAACTGTGCTAGAAAAGTGAAATTAGGAACGGAAGTGAAACCGACGACGACTTTCTAGGCACGTGGTTAATGACGTAGAAATGAGAACATTGCGTGTTTATTTAATCACATAGTTATCATGGAATCAAGGGATTCGTGTAGTTTTTCTACTGTTTCTTCTCAAGAACATTCCGCAGAAGACAAAACAAGGAAAAGACTGTCAGGTAACGCAGCCGTACCTCTTTTGAGGGCTAGTTCAAACACCCACTCCACAAATGATTTCGATGAAGAACAATTCGTACGAGCTGGTACGTAAGCGATCAATCTACTTCTTGTGGAGAGTTTTCTTTACGGCCCGTAATCTTGTAACTTGATTTTTTTACGCGAATAAATGAGGTCAAGATGACAACAAAGTTTCCTTGTCATATTCCTTGTGATGGTAATGATTGTGCATTTTGGCTTGCAGACATCCAGAATAACGATGTGTGAAAAATTTCTTGGTTAGAATTTGTTTTTGTGTTCAAAAGCATAAGCTCAAATCTCGATTGGAAATTGTAGGTGTATAGGTGTGGAAGTTGCCAGAGACTAAATCGAGTTGTAGAGTGCAATGAAGCTGTCGAGGCAGAAGGACTGGCCGAGCCCCCCGTTTGCATTTACAAACGCATTAGTAGATAAACCCAACTTGTCTCAAGCGGTGTGGCTGCTTCAAAATTACACGGAAACCTTTTCCCCTGTAGTCCGGGCTTCTACAACCGCAGGCAATGTTTCCTCCGTGTTAATCCCTCGTTATTTTCACTGGAAGTTGATTGCAGTTCCACCTTCTCATGTTCCGCAAGGGTCTTAAATTAGCAGAGCGCAAGTATTATTCTAACTTTCTGAAAAAATTTAAATGACTTAATATTTATTATGACAAGTTTTAATTTCCTCCTAAATATACTCTAGCAGCTTCTCGTTTCCTATAACCTCCTCGTGGCGGCTTCTGCGTGTGTTTGATGGTCCGTGAGAGATGTTTTTGTCATGTCTTTTTAACTTCTCTGTCTGTGGAGCCCCATGATTTTTCAAATTGTAGGAACAGCATTGGGTTTCAAGATATTTTTCATCTTTAAGCCCCCCGTGAGAGATTTCGCTATCATCTTTGCGAATGTTAGAACATCCACCAGCTATACAGCGATGCGGCATTATAATATGTTGCGCTAAATGCGGTCGCGTCAAACTGTTTGGGCTGGTATCTAAAAATCAGTACACACAGAATGGGCACACAACTCAACTGCTGTATAATAAACTGGCAGCTACCTTTGACTTCGCCGCTTTTCCGGTTTCTATGATCATGGATAGTAGAAGACTGGATTGGAAAGGTATATCACGTGGGTAGATTTCTCATCACCGATTGGTTGTTTCGTGCTTCAAGATGACGTCTGATGTTTCTATCATAGTTACGAGAATGTAAGAAGTAAATTTACAACCCTAAATTTCGATTAAAAATGACGAAATTAAGAGCGTCAAGGAAGTCAGTTGTGTGCATGATGGGCCCAACATTACTTTGGAGAAGGTTGCTGTAATATTATGAAGGACACACACGGAGTAAAAGGAAATACAATTTACTCGAACTCCGCACGATTACAACTGAACTTCAAGCTATAACAGAATACTAAATGAACTAAAGCACCACGGGAACAGGTCCCTAGAGGTACGTGCTAATGCATATTATAACAGTTTCACTCAATAAAGGTTTACCTCTAAAGAGCCTGTAAAGCTTTTCTTTACGGAATAATTATAGTAATGATCATAATGATAGCTATCCTTGACAACAATAAAAACTAGTTAATAAAGTAACCTAATACAGACTAATAAATTGGGGACACTATAATAAAAAAGTAATTAAAAATTAAGAAATAGAAAACATTTACCCTGTTTCTATCGAGTTATAGAAACACGAGTGGAAGTTTGGAAGAACGAGAGATGCTGTGGGAACACGAGCCGAGTTCTGCCAAACTTTCACGAGTGTTTCTATCGAGCAATTAGATTATGAACTCGACATTTCTATCGCGTGATAGTTGACGAGGGCGCAGTCCAAGTCAGCTATCACGCATAGAAATCGAGAGCGAATAATATAATTGTTTTAGTAGAAATCTACTAGTCTTTCAAAACTTTATCTAAATACTCTTATCTTTACAGACGCTTCGAAAACGCCAAGAAGCGGCCGTCATTTTGGTAACAAGGGTACACTGCTACGCTACTCACTATCTATCACAGAATAGCTATATAGATAGTGAGTAATGTAGCCAATCAGCAAACGGCATTCGTGATAGAACGCTAATAGATTTATGCTAAAACTCGATAGAAACACGGAGAACATGTTTTTATTTATTTTAGAAAACACCGCGACTAAAAAAAGGAAAACAACTGGTTAACTTTGATTAATCATTATGTCAACAGCTCGTGCTAGTTCTGTGTTTCTATCGAGTTATAGAAACACGGTTTTTAACCAATCAGCACGCGTATTTTCCTAGGACTGTTTTCTAATGGCTTTAGTAAATTGAAGAATACAACAACAGAACACTGAAAACAGCATTAGAATGCATATTCAAAAACAAATGTCCAAAATCTTGGTGCAAATTTTTTGCTTTGTTGCTATCATTCTCCTTGGCTCTAATGTGTCCACTCCTTTATTTTCGTTTCCTTTTATGTCACTCTTGACACAGATCCTTAAGTCAAGGATTAGCTTAATAGTCCTGTCTGTGTTTGTAAAAGTCAAAATTATACACTATTTTCATTTTCAGCTGAAATGGGAAAAATAGGAAGGAGAAGAAAATACTCTCATTGGAAGTATGAATAATAGTCAACCCACAGGCAAAGCTCACCAGTTTTACCTTCATGACGCCTACCCATTGAATACCAGTTTCCACTTTGTCACCTTCCTCCTGCTGTTCTACACCAGTCTTCCCTTTACAATTACACTCAAGTGTTCTCAGTTTTGTCGGAAAGTGATGCTTTTAAAAACTGTTGAAATTTAATCAAGCACTCTGAACTTTTCCTCATGTTATGCACATTACCAGAGTCAACAATGTTCCAGAAAAGACCTTCATGATCATTAACCAATTAGTCTACTGTTCTTTTACATTGCTGTATATTGTAGGTACAACAGTGGTTATATATTTTATTGATAACTACATGTAACTGCTCGTATCAGTACTGTAGCTTTAACTAAGGATGTTCAATAAAATGTGTCTTCATGGAAATCTTATGTGTTCTCCACCTGTTTGGGTGTTTGGTCAGTACATTCAAAACTATTCTTCAAAACTTTCTTTCGAAAGTATACATATGTCTTTGTATCGAAAAATCAGGTGTCCCTGATGTATTTTATGAGAACCTGCTTAAAACAGACACCCAGGTAAACTGGACTCTCTGGCATCTTTATTTTTATGAATTTTTAAAAACATTCAAAGAAAGTGACACATGATGTTTGATAATTATACAAATGTATTAATGGAGGATTACACACTAAAAATCTCAAATCTTAAATTTTTTGGCTTAAAGTGGGATGCAAGTGTTTCTTCAGGAAATATGTGAGGCAAAAGTTGTGCTGTTGTTTGCTTTTTTGGATTCCAAAGTACATTCTTACTGTAAAATATTACACACCAAATAAAAATTGTATATGACATTGCACCTTGCCTTTTTACCTACAAGAAGAAATTGATAGAAACTGTCTTCGCATCGGTTAAATCCATAACAAAAATGTGAGCTTATACACAGCTTGGCTTAGCTCTGAATTGTTGTGTCCTCAGGAGTCCGCATAGAGACTTTTCGCCTGTGTCCGCAATGATCTTTGTCTATAGTATTGAAGTTGTTTTTTAAGACAGATTTATTTCTGGTAAAACATTAAATTGAAAAGATGTTAACTTGTAGCGAATTTTTGCAGGAGAAAATTGTCGATTACTTATCGATGTTAATAATGTTAATTGCGCTGGAAAATTACTCGTCGATGTTAATGGCGCTGAAGGACACCAGAGCTCTTCTCATGCTGTCCTTTCCGTGTAATTCAGCAGAACTTTGCTCCGAGCTGCATTTTCTTACTTCCAATTTTCTTTCCTCCGTGTTACTTTTTAGGTACGACCACTTCCTCACCAGAAATTACTGCAGGTTTACGTTTACGAAGAGTTTTAAAAGTGTTATAAAGCTAAATTGCTGTCTTCCGATGGAAGCGTTGACGAAAAAGGGCAGGTTGGCTTCA